GATATGACACAGTGGTGTCACGGTTCAGTATGTTTTCGATACGGGTGGGGGGTAATTGCTTACATTGCAGTGTTGGAAGTATTTCTGTTTTAAACCATGAAGGCGAGCCAATGGATATCACATAAGCAACGTGCAAACTTTGCACAAGAGTTGCCGGTGAACTTAATCTCAGTCAATTCACTTTGCAGAAAGTGAAAGTAAAAACGGAATGACAAAGTTTTCGGCATCTGACGCCGCATATTCTCTCAAAGACGATGAGAGACGAATTTACTTCAACATGTGCTGATAACGGTATATAGCTAACTGTTTTCCTTTATTCCCTTAATATTTCTCTTGTGGCTTGTACATAGTGAAAAAAATGAGAAGAAACATACTTTAACAACAACAAAAAAAAAAAAGTTTAATTGAGGAGTAAATAGCCTAATATTTTGTTATCCTCGCAGTGCGTCAGTTATGCGGTAATATTGCGGGGCAAATTAATTGTAATTTTAATTTAATAATAAAAGTAACTTAATAATAATAGGCCTAATAAAAATAAGAATGTAACAGGCCTACATTCATTGAAAATGCCAAATACTCTTAATATTGCCAATAATTGATGTTTTTGACAATATCTCTGGCTATCGTCGATACAAGATCATCGTCTTTCGACGCAACCCAGCAAGGGGAGTTTATCGCGAGGCCTGCCACTGGGCAGACAGCACGTTGCCTGTTAGGTCGTTTGGGCTGCCTTGTTGAGCGCAGTGGCACTGAGAACATTATATTTCACACACTTTAAGCTCTTTTATTTTCCAAATGTAATAGTATTAGTCTAACGAATCGTTCAGTTTGTACTGAAAACTTCGTACCGAACGGTTCAATACGAATATGTGTATCGTTACACCCCTAGTTTATATTAGATCTGTGTATTAAGCAACATCAGCGTAATATACAGTACCTATACTGCTGTCTATGCTGATAATATGACCCAAACAAAACAAAAACAGAAAATCACTCACTGCTCTTGAATTAATAATTTCTGTAGCTCTAATAAGAAGACATTTCTTGCTTGAAATCTGCTTTTAAATGCTCTAGCATAAAGATAAACATGGTGGATTGTGTGTGGCTCACTCAGGGCGGGGTCTCTGTTAATACGGCAGTGCACACACACACACACCTTACACCAGGGCCGTCAGAACAATCTGAAATGTGAGGGCAGAACATAGTATAAACAATTTATAAATATTAATTAGATGAGGAAGAGTTCGTTCAATAAGAGTAACGGATTTTCTAAAAAAGCGTTTGCTAAAAGAAGTACCTCTTGTGCTCAAGTAAACACCGCATTAGATTCATTAGATTTTTGCGGCTGCAAGGTTTTTTGGAGATTAAAAAGTTCTTAATGTTCGATTATCAAGCTCAGATCTGTGAATCTATGAATCTGTGAACAAGTTAAACTCTCCTAAGATCTTTAGTGCAGCACTTGGAAAAATCTAGAGATTTAAAACTTCTTTGTGGACCTTAAAAAGGTTCTTCTATGGCATTAGGCTGTAAAACCTTTTCTGGTTCTAATTGGAAAGTTTAATTTTAAGTGTGTGTGTGTTAAATAGTATTGTGAGATTGTTATAGGCTGTTGTTTTGAAGAGGTGTAGGCTAGAGGGACCGTCCTCTGTGATCTCCTCTTCCCACAGGGCCTCCGCGTCTTTGAACACCTGGTGCTAATAACCAACCCAGTGCTGTTCCCACACAACATTATCAGCGGAACACAACTGACTACAACACTCAATACAGAAGGGGAATTCGCTAAGAATGAACTGCGCCCACTGATAGCGTCATTTATTTGCACATGCTGTCTGCGCTGTTTTAGGATGTGATTCACTAAAGGAATTATGCAAATCAGGTAATGGCACAAACACAGCCAAAAAATGACTGCGGAATGCAATTTGCACAACACTATTCCATGAGTTTTAGGACGGCTCTGAGCGCTAGGGTCTTTAGAATGCTAAAAATGTCTTGATATACCCATACACAATTTTTTTCTGGCCACAATATATTTTAAATATATGCTCAATCAATGTGTGTTTATAAATTGAAAATGTATATTGTTTAAACCTTAAAATGCCACAATATATTAGATGAAACTTGTACTCAAAGGAGCAAGTATACACTTCCAATCTTAAAATATATTTTGGGTAAATACAAAATTTTTAAATGTACTTTGAACAATACATTAATATATATTGACTGAAAATGGCCCAAAATTTTACTATACTATTACTAAAACGTACAGAAAATATATGTATGCAAATATATTTTTTAAAACAGTTGCCATTTCAAAGTATATTAAAAATATATCTGATAAAAAATTGAGAAGGGCAATGTAACAGCATATACCCTTACAGTAAAAAACTAAATTATATATATGTACAGTATATATATATATATATATATACACACACACACACACACACACAAAACAAAAACAGAAAATCACTCACTGCTCTTGAATTAATAATTTCTGTAGCTCTAATAAGAAGACATTTCTTGCTTGAAATCTGCTTTTAAATGCTCTAGCATAAAGATAAACATGGTGGATTGTGTGTGGCTCACTCAGGGCGGGGTCTCTGTTAATACGGCAGTGTCCGTCAACAGTTATGGGTGGGGCCTGTGCAAAGTGATGTCACATTGTACAGATTTTGCAAACAGCTTGTTCTGAGACACTGCTTATGATTTATGGAGATTATGTTTTTTTATTTTTATCATTATAGGGTGGTTGTGTACAAGGGTGGGTGTTTATGTTAAAAAAACATGTAAAAGTGAATTTTGCATAATAGGTGCCCCTTAAAATTATACAGAAGCTTTGGGTTTTGAACTTGGTGTGTGTCTACAAAATGGATCAAACTATTCTATTTCGAAAAAGATGCCCTAAAATAATTTCTGCAAGTTTTCCCTTCTTTAAATTAAATCAGCTCCTCCCTCCACAGTGAATAAGGACACATACCTATCCACAGGGATTGATGATGACATCACCAGAACAGACTATGCATTCATCCCATCTGTCTACCTGACCAACAACCTGAAAAAGAGCTGAAGCCCTCAGCTTACTACTCTCAGGATCTAATAATCTCCACGCTATTGCTGTGATTACAAAAACAGCAAAGATGAAAGAGTGGTGCGTTAAAAAAAATTGAGCAGAAAAGAGGAGTGCGTGTTAGTCTATGACTCAGCTGATTCGTGTGAACCTTAGGAATGCTATAAAAAGCTTCATTCGGCTTCCTGGGAGCAGCAGTGGCCAGATAAACACTTTATTACACACTGCTACACGCAGATTCACCATCTGGCCTGAGAGAGAGTGGAAGCCGAGCCTGTGTGTGCCCAACACTACTGTGCTATCTTTGCTACCTTATTCACACACACACACACACACACACACACACACACACATACATACACATATATAGGCTACATATATATACATGGGTCAAAGACGTTAAGATGTCCGCATCAAAAGAAATTTACAAAAGTGATTTTATGTCCATAGAAAGCACATTAAATGCGAGTAAAGCGTCTACATTTAAGGTTTCAAATAAGTTTTTGAAAAGTAAAATGTCAAAATTTGGTTGAAATAATGTTCCATTGTCATTCAGTGTAACACAATATTTATGTAAAAATTCAAACAACATGCTTATTCTGACCTGTACATATTAAAATATATAAAAGAATGAGTGAGCATATTAAATTTTATTGGGTTTTAAATGAGTAAAAAATTATTACTGACAAATGGGCAAAACCTAGGATAGTGGCAAATTTAAAAAATGTAAAAATAACAACGAATTAGTATTTGGGGTGAAAGTAATTCGTTTTTTTAATATGTCATAAATTGATTTTTGTTGTAAATATGCCTGACAAGATTGTTACACTGAATTACATTTTAGTGGGTGTCTTCTGTAAATCAGCGGAAAATGTATGATACTTATTTTTTGCTCAGAAAAAACAAACACAAAAATACAATTACATTAAACAGAAAACTTTTTTTTGGGGGGGAAAAACAACAACAATTTAAAGCAGTATTGTTTTTATGTTTAAACCCTTTTTTTTGGCCCATTGATGATAACAGCTTTTTCAACGTTAACTTCTAGCCAAATACTTCTAACTTGTGCAATCTATAATAATCTAAATAATATAAAGCATGTACCTGATACCTGAGGGTGGTTATTCAATAAGACTGATTTAGCAGGTGCAAAGGTTTAGAAAAATCTTTCAGATATAATCAGAAACCTTAGAATAAAATAACACCAATTATCATTCCTCTCAAAAAGGCTCTCATCAGGTATGTGATGATTTTCACTCTGTATTCTGTGCAGTTTGGCCAACAGTGCAATTTCACCTCCTGCAGACATGCATTTTGGGAGAAAAAAGTACTTTTTTTTTAAAGGAACGACCTTATTCAGCATTTGTTTGTCGAGCTGTGAGATTTCTGCCTTGATGAGGCAGCAATGTGCTGCTGGAGGGAGAAATGCAGGCCGTCGTGACAAAACCCTATCCAAAAACATCTGAGTGCGGCTCCCTTCTCCGCCTCATTCCTTAATCATCTCGCCATGCTTGAGCAACACCTGAAACCCAGCCGATCTCTCTTACTAGAGCTGTCCGCTTTAATTCAATCTCTTTAAAAGCATCCATCTCCATTTTCCCTTTCTAGCCTCTGAGCTAGAAAGGGAAACAAAGGATGTTCCATATCCTTTGTTAAGGATGATATGCCAGTTCGAGTTTTACAGTAAAGCAATTATTTTGTCTTGCACAGTCGAGTGGCTGGGAGCACGCAGACCTGTTAAAATCAAATGGAGCGGCGAGGGAGCTGCTCGGAACCCAACGCCGGGTCTCGCTCTGACAGCTCCGCTCAGCTCGCTGCCGCCCGTGGGTTCCGCTGCTAAACGATACCAACAGGGACAAGTGCGCAACACGGAGGGGGAGAGAGACATTGGTGAGGTTTAAGGATCGATGTGTCCAGTGGGCCGCTTGCCTACCTTTGATATGCCTGAGGAGAGGTGGGAGGCGTGGTGAACACCTGGGAATAAGGATGATAAGGCGTCTTCTTCAGCGCCTGGATGAGATTCTGTCTATATTCTGGGTCTATGCACCACAGGGAGCCCTTCCCGATACTCTGTGGAGGAGGAAGAGGAGTATATAGTCAGGACAGAAAAAGAAAAACCATCTAAACATCTCAAGAGACAACAATAAAGAGCAGGGCAGCTAGCAGAACCAGTCAAAGATGTTCAGCTGTGGTGAAAACTGGTGTTTGTGTACTTCTTCTTTTACCTTTTGGCTGCGATTAATTGCCTGCTATTCTGGTGTGTGGATTTCAATGTATGGATCATATCTATGGACATCCGTTATTGAGCTATACATCCCTTTGTTGTGTTAATTTCCTTCACATCCCAAACATCAGATCATCAAGAAGGAATTAAATCATGAATATTCAATGATGGATATCTGAGCATACAAATACTTTTTCTATCTCTTGAAAATGGGTCGTCTTAAGATGTTTCAAATCCTAGTGTGCTGCCTAACAAGGCAGCATTTTTAGGCATCAAAAGTGTGCTATGGTTAAATTCTAAAGCAGCATAACATGTATCCTTTGCAGATTTACAATTCCAGCATGCACTGTGAATGGCCCTGTTTAGAGAAATATGAAGGAGTGTTCACATTTCCTGTCACTTTGTAGCTAAACTGTAAAAAATGATTGTGATTTTAACAGTAAAAGACTGTAAAATGCTACAGTAAAAACATGTTAACTGGTTAACAGTAAGTTTCTATACTATATTCGGTGAATAAATGTAATTGCATTTAATGTAATTTTACAGTAAATTACTGTTAAAATACGGTTTTTGGAAGTGAAAAATAAAAAGTCATTGTATAATTTACAGTGACAAACTAAAAATTGACACCCAGAATTCCATGCATGACACTTCATATTTGATGTTTTTTTTGTTGTTAAAATAACGTTTCTTCTTAGATTTTTCTTATCAATTGTGTACATTAGGGTTTAATCTTACATCTAATGTTGTTAAATTAATGTTTATTGCATCATTTCAGTATCATGTGTGTCACCATGATGGGGTTTAGTGTTTGTGTGAATGACACTGTGCACCTTCTATATAAAAGTA